GTCCACTGAACCATAGCTTTTGACAATAAATTGAATTAAATTAGTTAACATTACACCCAGCGATAACGATATAATATTTTGAAAAGGAGAGAAAGTCTGCTTATTGACATGTGACATGTGATAATGTACTCTCCGCTTGTAAATTGAGCATCTATTACCAGGGGCGTGCTAAAGCACCAGTTACTAAGTGCACGCCGAACGCAATTTCCTCGTTTCGTCCGAACATGCATGCTAGGGGTGCACCGTTGGATAAATAAGTCTAAGGATACATAAATAAATTTTCAAATATCGGAATCGTAAATTTTTCGATTGAATAACGTCATGATTTCTAAAAACATATCTATACTAAAATCAAAAAAGTTTTAAACCCAATCGCGAATTAAAAGCAGGACAGTATAACCTCCATAAAGAAAATTTTTCATTTTAATTTTTGGATATCTGGGCGGCAAGAAGTTTGCTGAATAGGTTTTTAGTTTTTATACATCTATTATTATCGTGCAGTGCCCGATCGACAGAGCTACAGCCTGTGCATGGAAAACCGACAGAGAAACCATCACTTGACGAAATCATCACCCTGTTTTCTCCTACTTATATTGCTAAACTGATTTAATTTATTTTTTCAAGAACATTAAAAAATGGGCTGTTGTTGAACTTGTTTGGTAGGTGTCTAATAATAGCGATATAACTGGGCAATTTTAGTAATTTTTGAAGGTTAATAGTTTTTAAAATGATTAATTTATGGAAAAACAAAACAAAACATACTGGTATGGTAGAAGACATAGACTATATTAAAAAAAAATTGTTCTCATGTTATTATCCAGGGAAAAAACAGTGGAATACGTTTTTATGGACTAAACGCCGCCAAGATATCCTTTCACACTGTTCACTAAAGATATTATTGTTTTTGTTTATCGATCCACCAACATTTGTATCATTCCTTACATGCTATATAAATACAATGAACCGATAAGAACTAAAATGTACAAATAATTATAGGCGGATACCACATGCAAATAACTATCTCAGCACTGTGTACCTTTATTTAAATAATTAATTGGGCCAAACTTTCTTGAAGATTCCTTGAAATTTCAGAATGCAAATTTTATTACCATGTGCAATACAAACGTAAGGATATTTCAGACAATAATATAATACCTGGCAACCTTAATGCGTACAGTTGTGTCAGCAAGCGGGGCAATTTGTGTGCGCGGCCATGCGGGGTACGCGACCGTCCGGAATAGATGGCGGGCTGTTTGCAAATCCTGCACAACACCAGTTCTCGCTGCAGTACGCATTAATGTAGATTATCCGTCTGGTATAGTGGATCTCAAATGGCTTATCAATCATGTATGTGTACACGAAACTCAAACTTATGTATGAAGATTAATGTGAATTGCTTGATCATGACTTTGATTGTAATATCTTTAATACAAGTTCAATTCAATACTTCTGCACGTAGAAAAGGCTCGTTATTTATATTTATTAAAGTTTTAAATAAATGAACTGTGGAAGATCAGGGCCGGAGTATAGTAGGCGACTTAGGGCTTAATAGGTGACTTCTTTCATTATATAGCTTCTTACCTATGCTTATCTTAATTGCTGGTATTCAAGGATTTGATTGCTGTAGCAAGTATATATGCAAAAATAAAATTAATATAGTTAACAAAAATGAAAGGGAATATACACCCATTAACATAAATGCATTGCTAGTCCAAGAGACATCACAAGTAGCATTATGTTACTCCCAGAAGTAGTTGAATACACAACTCTAACCAGCGTAATGTCTTCAAATTTATTGAGAAAATTTTCAAAGCAGACATTATTCCTAAGAACAATAGATAAACGCATATTTTAAGCTTGTTGACGAGTTGATTTTTTAACAACTGTATGTATAAAAACTATAAAACTCTGTTGCAACTGCAGCTAGTAATTTTATGTACCCAACGTTTGGTAATTTATTTGAAATAACAGAGGTACAATTAACACAGTTAATTAAAGGTGTTTATGTTATTTTGCGTTTTACTTACCGCCAACATTGTTACGAAAGATGTAATATAGTTTTAATGTTTGCTTAATTAATAAGTTAAGCAATATCAAAATGCTCCAATGGGATCTTGGATCAAGTAATTTGTACAGCAGTTATGGACAAAGCAAACGTTTACCAGCTCATTTTTACACTTGTTATTTTTTAATGAAAAACTGCCTACGTTTTTTGTGAAATGTGAAAAGGTGTTTTTAATCAAAAACGTAGGCAGTTTTTCATTAAAAACACTTTTAATTCCTCATCAAACGTATGTTTAATTCTTCATAAAATATATTTTTAATTTTACATTACACATTAGTTTGCTTTCGTCAGTTTCGCTAATGCACGCTAATGCGAGGGTGACACTGAAAGTTCTTAGAAAATCAAAAACTGAACAAACTAGCAAGTTATTCGTTTTATAATATCTTTTCAAAAGTGTCCATTTACATCAATACATCGTTGTAACCGATAGAACCGCTGAGAGAAGCACTTTGCCTACTCGTCCTTAGGGGTCTCTTCGACGACATTTTGAAACGCAGCCACTGCTTCCTCGGCGTCCATAAAACGTTCTCCTCGAAGTTTTTCTTTTATTTTCGGAAATAAATAAAAATCGGAAGGTGCGAGGTTGGGGCTATAGGGCGGGTAACCCAGTAGTTCCACAGGATCCTACTGCGAGGCCGTTTCCCCCGAACTTTTTCCAAGATAATTGGAAAACAATTGTTGCGTAATGACCTGTCCTTCCGAAGAACGAGGCCACTGTCTTTATTCCGACGCTTCGACCTCTCGACACTTTAGTTGGCAACTCCTCAGAAGGAAATACCCAGACAGCAGACTGTATCTTAATTTCAGGATCATAACAAAAAATCCAGCTTTTGTTTCGTCACCCGTAAGTATGTCGAACACAGCATTTGAGTCACCTCCTTAAAATCTTTGAACCATTTACGACACCAATGAACACGACGGATTTTTTGGGCCTCTGTCAAATTATGAGATATCCACAGGACACAAAGCTTCCTGACTGCTAAATGTTCATGGAAGATTTTAAGCACTTGACTCATACCGATGCCTAAGCTTGTCCGAATCTGCTGATAAGTCACTTTTTTGGCAGTCTCTATCATACGCCGCACAACACAGATGTTATCTTCAGTCGTCGCCGTAGAAGGCTGTCCCTCATGCAGATCATCGGTGATATTAGTGCGACCACGTTTAAACTCATTAAACCAGTTGTAAACAGTGGCATGAGATGGGGGTTCATCGTGAAAGGCCAATCGAAGTCTATCATAACTTTCTTGTTGACTTAAATGATATCCAATGTCATAAAAAATCATTGTACGAAAATTTTGTCGCGTTAAATTCATGCTAACGTGACAGACAATTTTCAATATGCCGCCAAATCGTAAACAAATGACAAATTAATAAAATACATACACAATAACATTGACAAAGAGTTTGATTTTCAAAATTTGAACTTATTTTTTTATTATATCGTTTACAAGTGGCCAGTTCTGAAAACTTTCAGTGTCGTACCCGCATAGTAAAGACGCTGCCTGCTGCATAAAGAATAATTTTCTATTTAAAAGTTATAAATGTGACTCAAAATACATATAACCGATTATAGTACACGCGCCTCAGTAATTTGTAATGATATTAACGTAACTAAATATTTAATTCCATTCCGTGGTTATATTTTGTAAAAAAGTTTTATTAAAGAAAATTTTTTTACTAACTTACTTTTATTAAACTTACGTTATAAAATTTTTGTTAAGCTTTTGAAGTACCCACACATAAAAAATAAACACGTTACTTTTTTAAATTTCTTAGAAGTGACCTGCGTCTTCATCTTAACCAGCCCATAACTGTTCACTGCTGGACATAGGCCTCTCCCATAGCAGGGACGATTTTTCATTATAACTTTTTTTTCTATAGGATCGGGTGACAAAAGAGCACACAGTCCACCTGATGGTAAGTGGTTACTGTGACCCATAGACATCTATCCTCAATAAAGACTCAAGATGCAGATGCGTTGTCACCCGTGAGGACTAAGATGGAATGCCTCTTTGCCAGTAAAAAGGGTCTCCGGTTCTTTACACTCACCATACGAAACACAGCAGCGTTAAGCTGCTATTTTACGCTGGTTTTCAGATAACTATACTGCACGTGGTAGAGCCATGCTGCAGCTATATTATGGTTGTAGCACGAATGGGTGGGCTCGACCGGGGAAGGACCACGCTCTCACAGAATACCAGCGTAAAATAGTAGCTTAACGCTGCTGTGTTTCGTATGGTGAGTGTAGAGAACCGGGGACCCTTTTTACTGGAAACGAGGCATTCCATCTTAGTCCTCATGGGTGACAACGCATCTGCATTTTGATTCTTAATCGAAGATAGATGTAGATGTCTATGGGCCACAGCAACCACTTACCATCAGGTGGACTGTGTGATCGTTTGTCACCTTTATCCTATAAAAAAGAAAAAAAAACTATGCTTGGCAGGTGAGTTACACATACACATACAAAATGTAGCTGCGTTGCAGACACTTTAGACTTAAATAGAATGCCTCGTTACTAGTAAAAAGGGTATTCGGTTCTATACATTCACCATACGAAATATAGTCTTTAGCTGCTATTTTACGCAGGTGTTCTGGAGAGCGTGTCCTACCCCCATCAGGCTGATCCATTCCTGCTACAACCTTAATATGCAGCATGGCTCTATTCGTTAGAAAGGAGATTATTCTACGGCCATCTGACGGGGGCTACGAGATCTCCAAGAAAGAAGTGTGGTGATGGACTTTCTTATGCGCCACATATTATACTGCCGTATATTTTTGATCTTACGCTTAAAAAAATAGTAGCAGTGCTTGGCAAGTTTTCCGAATACATTTTTTTATTTGGATCAGTTTTGTAATTACCTTTTCTATTACATTAATGAAAATAACGTGTACTAAGTAATTAACAGTGTTAATGTCTTTTTGTCGACAGGTGGTGAGCAAGCAGTACCAGGTGGCGTCGGGGCCGGAGCTGACCAAGTTGTGCAACCATAAAAGGAAACTTTTGGCGACTCTGCAAGCCCGCACGCAGTCACCGGCTACGCCGCCGCCGCTCAACTTAGAACAGAAGAAAGGTATAATATATGGTACTTTAAATTATTTTATTTTATCTGTCAAATGTATCCTGAGAGTATCCTGAGTAGTTCCGAGGTTTACTTTTTTATTTCATTTTTGGCTGGTGTTTAAAAAAGATATGAGTAAAATTTTATGTATTTTAACGGGTTTCTTTTTGCTAAGTGAAGTCTGTCAACCCATATAAGTCCAGCAATGCAAAACATTTTCAACTTCATTACCTTATAAAAAGCTTTTAAAAATCAATGATTGTTGATCGCCGTGCCTTTATACGAGATTTAATCGTCTCGCTCTCTCCATAGTTATCGAGTTGAGAAAGGAAAATGCCAGGAATATCTTACTGCTTCTGACATATGACAAACTTATCAAACATGGTAGGCAGAAATCACTCGGACTCGTTAAGCATGAAGCGGCGTTCAGGGTGTAGGCGTTTAGTACAACTACTTGTACTATTATATATTATATCGTACTACCGTCAATTTGTCTGCCCTGTGTAGTTATTTAGTCTTTTTAGAATATTACAGATTTTAGAGTATTATTTAAGTTCCGCAGTTATATTTTTATATATAGTTATAATTTTTTTATAAAATAATTTTGAAGCAATATTATGAATATTTAGTATAAATTTACATACATAAACACTCACGCCTGTCACCCAGAGGGGTAGGCAGAGATTATGGACTTCCATTTGGCACGATCCTGACACACCTCTCTCGCTTCTTCCACATCCATATACCTACGCATACACTCGTCGGTTAAAGGTACTCTTGATTTGGGCCATTTGTAATATATCGCCAATTTGGTCGATAAACTTTCGCCTAGGGCGACCCTTCCCGACTATGCCGTTCACCTCTGCAACACAGATTTGCTTTGTCACTCTTTCCTCATTCATTCTTTCTACATGGCCAAACCACCGAAGCATTCCTTTCTTAATCCTGGTCACAACATCATCTTGCAAACCACACTCTTCTCTTATTAAACAATTTCTCACTCTGTCATTCAGCTTCATCCCTAACATAATAAATATATAATATATAGTATAAATTTATAAATATATTAATTTATATATTTATATAATTTATATATAAATATATAGTATAAATTTAGTATGTTAAAAAACAAACAATATACTCTTTATAATTACACCAACTGTTTTTACTTACGAAAACTTTCGAAAAGAACGCAATTTTATTTAGTGGCGTAGTTGCATTTCTCCTTGACTGAATACTTGCATCGCAAAAAGTTTTAAAGATGAGTAATGGTTGAAGTTTCTGGTTTCGTGCAACCTGTTTTTGTTTTGCTTAATTATTGCACAAGTTAGTGTTACTAAATTAAATAGATGATTTAAGACGCGGTTTCCACCCTATTTATTATTATTAATATTAATTTTAGTAAAATAAAGTGGCTTATAAAATTTCCTCTACTGTCTCTTAAGCCTCATATTTTGTGCTCTTCTTCTACCTTAACTTTTAGACGTGTAGGCCTTTCCCAGAACGCGCCAATTGAAACACATTTCTTTATAGAGTTACTCACACTCACGCTTGGCTGACGGTTTGGTGAACTTATACCCCCGCACTGGATAATGCTTTTTACTACTCTGTGGGATTTGAGTTCTGCATTTGTGCATAGGTTTGGGTCATCAATGGGCCGTCAGGCTTCAAATAGGTTGACATTTGAAGAAAACGATTTTGATCTTATTTATTATACTGTAGGTAGTAAATAGATCACCGTAGTCTGAATCGTTGCTCCATTGGTGGTTGGTGCACTTACATGATTTCCAATCATATTATAATTTTTCAGGTATGTAGGTTCCATCTAATACTCATATGTACAATAAGCAATTTATATGTATTTATTACAATTACCTCAGTCGGGGTCGAACATTGGCTATCCGCGTATTAAAAATTCAAAGTTGGTGATGCCACGCTTCATTTGTTGAAGAAAAACTAATCATTTGTCCACATGGTACAGCAGCATTGCAAAATGTTACATTGGTAAACATCTTTACATTTTACTAGGGTGATATATCCTTGTCAATAAATTGCTCAGGGAAATACAATCTTCAATTTAAAGTGTAAACAAGGTGAAATGAGATAACAATAAACAAATTATTATACTTGTCATAAGGAGGGAAGCAAGGAATGAGAGGAAAATTGTCGGCGACGTGACGAGGGGCGGGAAAATTGTGTTTAGTGGATACACAAATACTGCGCCGTCGGCGTTTGTACGTCACGGGACGTCGTATTCTTAGCCTTATTTCGTTTCCGCTAATGACGCCATTTTCTCTGTTACACTCGAAATCAGTTGCCTTCTTTGTTACTTTGAATTTCTTTTTAATTTTGCCCTTACTATCTTTTACTGTTCGCCATACACGTAATTCATTATCCATATTACCATATTGGTAAATTGTTATCGATGTCAATTAATCGAGATACTAAAGGGCGAATAGATAATACTTTTACAAGAAGTTGTTTCAAATAAATTTTAGTATTACTCAATGTTTTTTTAACCTTGAGTAATTCTGACTTTTGTACCTAATATTTGTATATTTTTTAAAAATATCTACGATTATGCTCTCTGGTACGTCTGAAATTTTCATTCAGTGGCGCCTGTCGCATCGTTTTTTACAAAATAGTTTCCTTCCTTAATCTTTCTACTTATTTTAAATCTATTGCTCTCTTAATTTTTTACTTATTTGATAAGAGCAATCTAAACATATTTATTTAGTGGCTTTATTAAATATAAATATTTTTTGTTGCAAGGTTAAGATTAATGAGTTTTGTGGAAATTTATTGTGCATACGTTAAATTTGCAAAACTTCTATAAAAGCATATACGTTGTGTAATAAAGTAACCATAAATAATTTTTATTCTCTATGCGATGAAATAAACGTTGTTAATTTTTTAGTTACTTAACTTCGTAAAAAAGACATTCCAATTACGTTCGAGCACATTCTATTTATAAGCGTTGAAACTTTATAATAAAGGTAAACTATTTGTTTCATTGAAGATACGTTAATAGCTTGTTTGACAACCTTTTATAATGGAACTCTTTGTCCACAACAGCCGCAGCAAAGCTCGAGAAACATCGACTCGCACAGCAGCAGATAGATGCACACTTGCAAATCCGATATTATTATCCGATTAGCGGGCGGGTGTTCCGGGCGCAATCTCCGCGCTCGGCCCTCTTCATCCAATTACGCGAGTGTGAACCCAACAAGATTAGCCGGGAAATACCGGGAATTGTCCCGGACTGTATCTATCGATACTAGTACTAATGGGTCTTGAATCAGCTGCCATGCCTTTTTTTATTTTCTACACGGTTATCTTCGTTGACTTACGGTGTTTTTTTTTAATAACAAGCCAGCTATTTTCTCTGTGTTTTACTGAAATTTAATTAAAAATGTATATTTTTAAACCGTTAATCTAAAATAATATTTTTGTGGCATTTTACAAAGCAATGAAGCACATAGAATATAAGATACAGAGAGTTCCGAACGAGTTAAATTGTCACTATCTATTTCCAAGAACATAGAAAAGTGGTCACTTGGAGGAGCGAGTTGTTTCTTATAACAAAGAGGGTACAGTCGGTCTCTTTGTTGTTAAGTGGCAACGCGGACTGGAGCGCGGGGATGCATTTAGTGTGGCATGAATAGCTTGCAACTGCACTTCGTCAGTCCGGGAGTAACAACCTGGACGCCCAACTCACCCCTCACAGTCCGCTGCCTTGCCACCCCCTACCAGCAATAACAGTTTTTAATATGCAAATCGTTTCACGTTTCGCGCGCTTTACCTTACATTATACCCCTTGTAATACAACACAAACACAGGGCACTTGCAATGTGGCACTGCTTAAGATGGAACGGAAGCTATCCTCTCTCCCTTTTTTAAAATTGTGAACGCATTAAGAATTTATACCATTTAATTTGTTTTTCATAAATCTCTTGTTTATTACTTTATTTATAAGATTTAAAAAGGTAATAAAATCTTATGTTTTAATTAATAAGATTAATTAGTTTATGGCCTCAACCGTGGCTATTATATGGTATCACTTGTATTGGAATCAAAATTTAATTGTAATTAAAAAATTAGATCTTGCCACTGACTGTATAAAGTACGCTATTTTATTTTATGTGTTTAAAATTATGACATGAATATTCTCTGTTTGTCAGAATCGAACCAAATGGTAGTTCTGAGTGTACGTATGAATACTTTCTGTATTATCAACGTAACAAAAACTCTAAAACTCTTCTGCACTCTCAAACCAGTTAATGTAATGTGTATAATTCTACTAAATCGTGTTATCAGGCTGAACCTCGTATATTACCATCATTCGTTCTCTTCATGACAGAACATTGTGATCGCACCACTCAACTCAATTATTAAACTGTTAATAAACAACAGCAACTGATTACTACGTCAATTTTCTTGTAACTGACAACTGGAAATAGGTCACCTGCTCCGATTACGTTACGTCACTAACATTTTACCTTGTACTTTATTTTCCATATTATTAAGTTATTATTACAGTTAATGATATTAAATAGTTGTATAACGTTATTGTAGAAGCTATCTTTAACAATATTCTTAATTATACCACTTAGTTTCTCATAGTCTACTAACTAGAGTTGATACTCTAGTCGGAATATGTTAAGTAATAACCATTACAACCCCTAAGTAACGAAGTATCAAGCAAGGATTTCCGATAAGAAGATAATGCCAGCAAAGGAGATTAAGTGTCGAGAGTGGACGGAACGAACAGGGAAGTCCGGAGCCGCAGTATTGCGTAATTACCGTAAAGGAAGTCGGCCGTTTAGAACAAACAAAAACGCTGGCGACTCGATCAGCGGCGGGAACAAAGGGCGGGTGTAATTTGAAACAATCGGCGGTGCGGAGCGGGCTTGGGCGCGCACCCCGACGACTATTGATCTGACGAGTCGCTGCCGTGCCTCCCTCTCCCCCGTCCATTCCGCAACAACCCCTATAACACCCTACTCGCCGTCCTCCGACACCCCGGCGCCTCCGAGACCACCCCGACTCGCACACAACCAGTATTTTAATTGCAAATCTGCCAGATAATGTGCAAATAGATAACGGCATTATACTCGGCTCGCTAACTAATTATGAAGCGCTATCGAATTAAGCCCGGCATACTTTTGAGCTTTATGAACTTCTTGTGGACGAGCCGGACGGTTCGATATTGAACGACTTGCGATGAAGTTGAATGACGATTCAGACTTGTTTATTTAGAGAAAGGGTAGTAAGTAAGTAAATCAAAGCAGTTTAATATTTTTACATTTTCTAGAAAATATACCGAAATTATTGAATTCTAAAATGAATTCTTCTAATTAAATTAGAATTATTGCTGTGTAAAGTTCTATTTTAAAAATGTTTCTTTTGTTCTATTAAATGAACTATGGCTAACCACTATTTCAGTTTTTGTATACGCATTTTAGAGGTGATTTATAATTTTTATACTTGCTAATTGTTTTTTTATTTGACCAACTTTTATTTTTTATTTTTTCTTTTATTTGATTTCACCTCCTTAGCTTGATTATCCCCTATCCTCTCTCCGCATAAAGCTGTATTAAGGGTTGGGTAAAATTAACCGCAATTACTGTTTGCGAAGAGTTTAATGCGAGTCATTACATTAATAGGTTTTAATTTAACAGCTATTGTTTGTTTTTATATTCCAAATAGTAAATGTTTTCAGAGATATTTTGGAAACGAAGTTCCTTATCGGACGGTACGGATTTAGCGGATGGGGCATGGGGGCTAGGCGACAAAACGTGTCACGATCCCTTCTGACGTAGTGTAGACGGCTTTGGCGGCTATAAGGAAACGAGATGGAATAATATCCATCTCCCTTGCACTTTTTCTTATCTTGCCATGAAATATTTTTTTAATATACGCTTAATTTTAATAGACGCTAGTAATTAATTTATTTGTATTTATTGTGTTCCCCGACACACAGGTTTTTTTATTAATTTCATTAATGTTTTGTTTAAATATAGTGGGTAGGTAAAAGTTTTACTTCATTAGGATTGATTTCAATAATCTTATGGTGTGTGGTGGCGCCATAAGAGAATCCATCACTCAGTGTGATCCATGGATATCTTAAAAGGCAACTTTGGTTCTTGACAGAAAGATCCTGTATATTTGACAGAAGCCGGTACAACCATCTCGTTCACATCAAACCTTAAATTAAATATCCACACCGGCGACAGATAGCAGCAGGATTAAACGTGTGACACGTGTAGTATTGCGATCACTGTAGGAGAAATACATGTTAAGAATTTGTAAAATATTATATAGACAATTTTATCTCTTTTAAATATTTTACTTTGTTTCGCTTTTATTGTTATTGTGTGTTCAGGAAATGTTGTAAATTACAATGTAAAAACTCCTTATTATCCTTAAGTTTTTAATGATTTATACTTAATATATTTTAATAGAAAAGATGTAAGTAAAGGTAATCATCACATAATTGGTAAAGATGGGGTTGAGCGCTTAGACAGATAGAAAAAATATCTTTCATCGCTTTAGGTTTAGGCATAATAAGGACGTCTGGAGATCGGGCCAAAGTCACGAAGTCTTTCGACCCTCGACCTTTGTTTTACTAATCGAATACATTATATGCAATTCGTCTTTTGTCCAATTTGAGATTTGAGTGATATGGCTCTAAATTCTAATATACATTTCTTGCTTCGATTTGTTTGAACTAAACGTTGCTAGCAAATTTATTCTTAAAAGGTTTTGTGACATTTTACCTACTTACTTTTTGTTAAGTTAGTTTTTAACTGACTGAAACATAATTGGAAATAATTTTACTTATAGTTGAGAATTTCATGTTTTATTTTGAATATTACATCTAAAAAAGCAAGCCTTTCAAGTGCCTATAGAAATGTTTATTTTGTTAATTTGAATAAGACCTAGTTATTGTATGGTATTAGTACTTTAATTTGTTAATAATTGTAGTGACGGTGTAGCATCCATAGTACAAAACCTAAAGTCAGGTCGTCTACTTATTGTATTGAAATGTTGATTCTATCATGACTATGTACACATAAATACATGTCATAATATATGTAGGTACATATCTATGTACCTACATATATTATGACATGTATTTATGAACTGGTCCCAAATCCCAAAGTCGATTAATAAGAAATGGAAAATGCTATCATATGGATATTTCTAACTGATGATCTGATCTGATGTATGCACACTGGTATTATAAAATAATGGTATTAAATGATCTCTTTAAAGTTTCGATGCAAAATCGATTTTTAACACCTTTGTTCATACTTCAACATCACTTTACTATAAAACTATAAGTGGTTAAGGTTAAGGTGATTAGAACTTTTTTACTTAATATAAATATATCTTCAATTAGTATTTTAATAATTGTCCCATATTTTCGATAATGCTTGCCCAATGACCACTATTATAGATCCCCAAATCAAATTATAGTTCTACGCGGAAGTAGTCTCGGTTAAAAGCTAGTAAGAAATATAATTTATTTAATGGCAATTTTATTATACAGAGTTTCGTCTTAAACAATTTGCTTACGTTTGCTGTACCCAGGATTACTTTACTATTTGAGTTATCTACGTGGGGCTCCGGGATAACTCTTGGTATTTGGCAACCCTAATGAAAGCGTTGTCCATTGAAATAACGTGTGCGAATTGAAGCGGATTTAATGACAGTGCTCTGTTCTGTTTGGACGAACTAATTGTATTTTGTTTTAATTACTCTCTGTTAATGTTCTCTTTATTTTGGAGAATATGCAGTATTTTTATGAAACATTTGAATTTGAATTAGTCATAATGTTATTTTTTGCTTACATATTTTGTCTTCTTCTATATAATAATATTGTGGAAAAATTACTTGACAGTATTTTTGTTTTCGGGAACCTTTTTTTTTATTTGAAAATTAAATTTTGCAAAAAATTTGATGTTAGTATCTCTTTCGCGTGTTTGACATTTAGAAAATAAAAATTAGTGCCAAAGTAGATGTCAATTAATTGTTTTTCGAAGTAGTCTCTGCTCCTGTCTTTGTGTTTCTATATATAATAATGTGTCGTTTCATTCTATGTATGTACTATATAGAAATTACGAATGTAAAATTTTCAATGATAACCGGATATTTTGAATCTATAATAAAGTGAGAATCTATAATAATGTAATATTCTATCAATTTCAGGTGCAGAAGTAGCAGCTAAAAAGAAAATGAAGAAAAGGCCAGGGTTTATATCGAACATAAACGTTTCCCCGTTAATGGTACAAAAGGATAAGCCCCTCGGTGACTTTAAGGTACGTTATTCCCCAATAATATTACGTATTCATGGCCCTGATAAGAGTTGAGTCGTTGCCAAGACTACTGCCTGCACACTGATATTTTATTCATATCACTCTTGAAAACAGCTTTTATTGTAGTTATAACAATCTTTTGATTAAATGTATATAAACTTGCTGTACTACTTTCTGTTACGATAGAAAGTCATTGCTATATTTTAAGTGTACGGGAAAGAGAATGGATTAATCTGGAAGAAACAAGGGAAGCCTCTAAGATAATATTTTATTTTATAAAACCGAAGTGACAAACGAACTTACAGTCTACCATTAAGTAGCTACTGCAGTCCATATACCTGCAAGCAACCTCGAAGGAGGTAGGTAGAAGATGGAATGCCTCACTGTAATTATTACTGGTTTTGTACCTTTCATACAGGATCACAGCAAGGCAATCATTGCTATTTTGGCGGCACAAATAGGTAAACAGGTGGTACCCGCCCAGACTCCTGGGCAGGAATGGTTTCCTACCACATAGAAGCTCCCATCTAATATACTAATTCAACAAATTCAACAGGTTTATTTTTGATTTATCTCATTTGTTTCATTTTATTTATTTCAGAATCAAGAAATCGAGTCTAAACGCACGGTGTCTCCTGGAATAATGGTACAACGCCCCAATATGCAATCTTGTCCACCAGGATATCTAGTGCAACAGAACATGTTAAATATGGCTCAAGAGAACGAAGTTAAACACGAAACGCTCATTCAGAGAAGTTCGCACTATCTGACCGTCAACAATGGCTGGATAACACAACAGCCAGAAAACATAGACGGACAGAAACAGAATCAGGTTGCACAAAATTCTGTTAATACCTCTCTAAATGTAGGTCTGCCAGTGCTAGGGACTAATGGGCAAATAATTGGAGTGAATACAGGGTACAATAAACAGGCGAATAATCAAAAAAACGTTATAGGCCTCCAGTCGCAACATGTTATGGAACAAGATCGTAAGGAAGAAAAGAAAGATCTGCACCCGAATTTGCAATCAGTCAGGCAACAGAGTAAAGAAGAGGAATCCCAAATATTTTGTGGTCTGAATCAAGCACTGACCCCCGAAGTAATGCAAAAGATAAATGAACAGCAGCAAATATTCATACAGCAGAATCAAAAACAAATAGAAATGGCCATGAAGGGCTTCAAAACACAATTAGCTGAAAACACTAACCAGAACAAACCGCAAACGCAATTCGTTCCTCAAGCTCAACTGGTGATACAAAATGGAGCTGTGGTTAAAACTAACTCCGCTAAAACGCCACCATGGCAAGTAAAAAGAAGTGAATCTAACACTTCAATAACGAGTCCTAGTCCTAAGCCACAAAAATTAGAAAATGTTGAATATGATGAGCAGCATACAAACCCTCTAGAGGACTCTTCAAACTTATTCAATTCTTTTTCGGGTCACAACAACATGAACCAGGCAATGTGTTCCCGGGTGCCACCTTTACCTCAACATTACAATATGATGGGTCAACAATGGCCCGGAGTTGACCTTAACAAGAAAAAAGTGAAAGGCAACACTAAGGCACCCAAAAAGAAATTCAGTCCAACTGAGAACAGAACTATGACGTTTGGTAACAACGGCATGCGATACGTTCAAGATACAAAAGGAAAAATTTGTGATGATATGACAACAAATAATGTTCCTTCGTTTATGGATGACCCGAATGGGTACTTAGCGCAACAAACGGTTTTGCTCAATAATACTATTTCTAAGCAAGTGGGAATTAGCTCTAATTATGATGGCAACCAGTATGAAAACTCTAATAACTCTTACAGCTCTCACAATCAAAATGAAAAATCTGGTAAACAAATTAACAAATCTCATGATGGAATTAATATTTTCAAAAATAATATGGTGCCAAATTCGTCGCCATCGCCAAACAATACTCCAGACAGCAGTTTAGTGCCCGAAAAAAGTATCGAAAACCCAGTTTCTCAGTGCTGTAAAGGCTGTAATATTCCTTATAAAGGGAATTGCTCAGATTACGCTGAAAATCAAATAAGAGCAAAACATATGAAACACAATCTATGTTCAATGGAACTAGATGGCAATCTGAGTACGTCTAGTCCGAAGCACGTATTTGATGATAACCCCGTTACATCGTCTACGTTCATTGAGCGGAATTCAATGATAAATGAAAATAGTGGTCCGATCCAAGCAGGTGTGGTAAGCACCAGTAATGTATCGCCTACAGAGACTCTCCAACCTCCAGAACCCTCACCTACGCTGTCGAACAGTTCGAGAAGTACGGATACGCCTCACAGCAGCGGAAGTAATTCACAAATGCAAAATAATTGTACATTCCCCATGCCAAGCCCGGCTTACCCTGGATCTTGTAGAGATAATTCCAATAGCAACCCCCCAACCCCTGGTAGCAATCACGCATATCCATACAACTCACCTGGACCACCCAACAGCCAATCTATTCTAGGAACGCAAATGATGCATTTCATATCAAATCATAATGTGAACAAAAATCTAATGGAAGTGGATAACATATCAATGGTTGGAGTGAAGCCAGGCTTAAGAAATCCACAAGACATATACAGATTAGAAGCAAGAAAGCGTTTTGAGAATATAATGCCAGGTTATTGTCCACCTCCACATTTAGGAGGGGGTCCAGCGCATTCATTAATACAAGCGTGCTATGTACAAACGTTTGTAACAACAATGGCCAGCGGGTTTTCTGTCACTCGAGATACAGTCACTTCGGTGTTAGCTGGAAAAGCAAATACAGCTACAACTTCTATCAACGCGTCGCAAGCTAATTTCGTCAGACCACCACCGCCCCCAAGTGTTAACTTGGCCACAACATATGCGATACCGACCAACCAACCTGATCCATTTATTAATTCCGTCAATTTACCTACGAGTTATCCGTTGCACATAGCCGGCACCACAGCGCAAAATATGATTTCAAAATCACCATTAGAAATGGTCCAGAACGTTATCAGTAGTCTGCCGTCGAAGTCGGAAACAAATAATACGCAGTCTACAACATTAACGCAGATTGGTAGGCGGGCCGGTCCCACTACACCCGGACAGATATTGATATCATCTACTGGTCAAATCATTGTTTCCAATAACCATATGCCACCACCTCCGCCGAAAACAAGCACATCCAATTCTCCCATACAAGCATCAAATGCAATTACGAATGTGACAACGTCCGTAACGCAAGTGTTACCCGCAGTTGGCAATGTTCCGCCAATTGTGAATCAACCAACAGTCGTTGTTAATACGTTGCCGACGCCGTTCGTCATACAGCCGCCAATAATGGCCGTGGACGGACAAGTGATGCAACAGAATACAGTGCTACCTCAAATAGTGACTGGGGGAATTGTGTCGGGACAGACTTCGAACGAAAGTCCTCGACAGATAGAAATGAAGAATGGACAAAGCTTTGTCCAAGGTGTTGCGATGCTTTCACCGGAAAGTTTAAAAAAGAGAAACAAAAAGAAAAAGGTACCCGCCCCCAATATAACGAACGTTCTGCAAATAACAGCGCCGCAACAAAATCCCAGCAACATAATGGTGCATCATTCGTCGCCGCAGCACAATTCTAGTCCACAATTCTCGCCGCGTGGTTTTCAGCTATCGCCCACCAATAATATTTCGCCGACTCCGATGCTGCAAGCGTTGACTATTGTACCTGGAAAGTCGGGAACACCGGCGCACATAGTTATGAACGGACAAGGCAACACTAATAATTTTGGTTCCCAACAGATAATCGCGAATACGTCACCGTCGCAGCAGATCAATCTATTGCAGCCCGTCAATTTAATTAATAACACAACAAGCGTAATGTCGAATTTCCCTGCCTTCCAGCAATTCATTGTGCCAAACCTCGGTGGAATGGTGATGACAGCTGATGGAACGGCTATAATCCAAGACAATTCAACGGGAATGCCTATGCAGTTGCAACTGCAAACAGTCAACGGACAAAATGTATTAACACCAGTTCAAAATACTGGTGTGTTTGCAGCGGGAGCCAATAGCGGCGTTGTGATCAGAGCACAAAATCAACAAGGAAAGATTATTCAATCGCAGCACAGTCCAGGCGCTCAGTTCCTGTCTCCGAATAACCAAGTTATGATGAACAGTCCCAACTTTAATGGTCAGCTTAGTCCCCTACTTGCCAATTTGAGTCCAACAAACGTAACATTTAATACGAGTCCACATCAAGTGAGAACAGGGAACGTACAAACGCAAGAATTTATACAGACCAATCAAATGGGACAAACCTTGATGGTTCCATTATCGCCGAAACAGGTTTCACTGACATCAGCGACAAACAACAGGAGCAATTCAACTTTCGTGCAACAAAATACCACAATAGTTCAGCAACAAACAACTTTGGTATCAAACTCGCCTAACACGCAGATGTCGTGCCCAACTAATTTGCATGGCGGCAATTCTTCACGTCTGAGCATAGACCCTAATCTTCTTCTCACTCATAAACAAGTAACAAATCAAAAGGGTAGAAGCTTTGTTCAAATATCTGCTGAGAACAATCAAATTGACGAAGTAAAAGATGATAAACAGACGCCGCCGGTATTCGCACAGTTGCAATCGAATGAGAATGAAAGAAAAATGGAGAACGAGGGATACGCTAAATTTATGAACGAGTTCAATCCTTTGATCGGGCAGGGCACGTTTAATTCCCACGTGAGACACTCGGTGTCGACTCAGACTTTAGTTAATCAACAGAGGGGCAAATCACCGAACAGCCAGGCGGTTTCTGGTAGCAGTCCCCCGGATACAACTACGCACAGTCCTTTAGGCGCTCTGGAAACCGCTTCTAGTCCGCGAGTGTACGGCGCCAGATGTGTGTCGACGCAAGGCAACTATGCGGACACTACTACCAAGTCGCCGGAGCCTGCAGACGTGAACTCTTCGGTACGTACTAATTTTTTTTTTATTATATTACAATGGTATAGTGCACACGGTCAGTGTAGTGCCGGTACGGTGTAAGAATATATGCTGCTCATATCATTCCGTGACTGTCGTAAGAGGTGGAAACAGGAGGAGATAGGCAGCAGCGTCTTCCTAATAACATTAAAAATGGAAAACTCCAACCCGCCTGCCAAGAATGACAACTAAGGCAAATATCCCCTCTATGAGATAACTATGAAGGAGAGCTATGTTTTACAGTATAGGTACGCTTGATAGACTAGTCCCATTCGTACCCAACAACAAGCATCAACCGCGTGGTTTAGCAGTTAAGGAAACACGTGTCGAATAGCGGCAACTGGCAATATTTGAGCAAAAATCAGCTAAATACACTTGAACTTCAGGTCTGGATATGTGATTGTCTCTGATACTGTTTTCTAACCTACTTTCCATAAGCATTACATCTGATCCTACATCACATTAGAAAGGTACGTATGAACTATGAACATGGTTGATAAAGTTTTAATAAAAAAATATTATTTAAAAAAACTAAAGCAACAGCCTATATTATATGTCCTAATGTTGGGCACATGTCTTCTCATTCTCCTTCCAGAGATGTTTTATGGCTAAGAAGAGTCTACCACGCTGCGCCAATGTGTTTAGGCATTAGGTTGGCTGGACCGGCGAAAGGCCACCTCACGGAATTCCAGTGTAAAATAACAGCTTAAAACTGCTATGTTTTGTATGGTGCATGTAAGAGAACTGGAGATCTTTTTTACTGTTAACTTAGTCCTCAGGGATGACAACGAATCTTGATTTTGATTCTTAATCATGGATAGGATGCTAGATGCAGGTGTCTATGGCCCTGCTATCAGGTTAACTCGTTTGTCATCCATATTCTATTTTAAAAAAAAATTGCTAGGATTCTTTACCATAATATTTTCCTTCACCAATGAGCATGTGGTAAATAAGAATATAAATTCCAATTAACAATTTAATTGGTGCTGGCATGGATATATCTCGGTGGGATTATGTCGCTACTGTAGCTACTATTGGTTTTTAAACATGATAAATATATTAGTCGAAATTCTAAACGATAATGGTTTTGAAATTTCAGGCCATGGTACAGTGTGTGTCGAGCAGTGAACAAGATATGGCCGAGTCAAGAGAACGTGGTTGGCCAACGCCGCGAAGCGACATAAATTCCGATAACGAAATTCCAAGTGAGTTATCAAATCATTACAATGCAGTTTACTTAATGGTTATATGATTTATTACGTGGTAGAGTCATGCTGCAGCTATATTATGGTTGTAGTACGAATGGGTCGGCTCGACCGAGGACCACGCTCTCACAGAATACCAGCGTAAAATAGAAACTTAATGCTGCTGTGTTTCGTATGGTGAGTGTAGCGAACCGGAGACCCTCTTTTACAGGAAACGAGGCATTTCATCTTAGTCCTCAGGGATGACAACGCATTTGCATTTAGATTCTTAATCGAGGATAAATGTAGATGTCTTTGGGCCACAGCATCCACTTACAATCAGGTGGACTGTGTGCTCGTTTGTCACCATTATTTTATAAAAAATAAAGTAACTGTGCCCATGATTTCATTCGCATAGAATAATTATTTTATATACTTTCCTATTTGAATCAGATTTTGTTTACAATTTCATGGGTTAATTTTTTTGCGCGGAACTCTTTTTCTAGGATAAAATATCCAAGTTACTCCTTATAATAGTAGCTATCTGCTAGTGAAAATCAAGGTAAAAAATCGGTCAAGCCGTATCGGAGATCAGTCGGAACAAACAAACAGAAAGACAGACAAAAATTAAAAAAATATATTTTTTATTACAAGTATTATCGTACATATTTTCATATTTATATAGTTAAAAGCTATTATTTTGACATTACAAACAGACACTTCATGAATAAAAAAATCCCTCCATCGCTTTCATATATTAAACCACGTCCCGGGTGCAGTCCTTACTGCTCCCAGCACCCTCGCAGTGCTATCAGGGTGTCTCGAGACCACTTCCGAGTCACCCTCCTCTTTAGGGGTTAAATTGCTAGGCGTTAGGGGCACCCGCCTCGACGCCCGTATCCCCTGTGGCCCCGTTTCTGATAAGAGAACACCCTCCTCGAGGGAGGGCCGTAACGATCGCCTTGGCGTCGTAGTGCCCGAGCAGGATCTGTCCTCTCCCGACACCTGTCAACAGCCTCATTCTGAACCATAACGGATTTAAGAAGGCGGCTACGGCCCTCCACGCCGAGTTCCTGTTCAACATCGCCGACACGACTGCTGGCAGGAGAGTTTCCGACCGATCCGGCTCACCAGTACCGTCCGCTGTCGTTCCCACGCTGAACATGTTGCCAATGTATGGGATGCGGAGTCCTGGAAAAAATTTCAACTTAAATCAAAAAATGGGCCCCCCCATCATCAGTTTTTGATTTAAGTTGAAATTTTCCGATTGGATATATACTATCGTTTGTAGCCTTGCTTGTCAATTAGTAGGATGCATTTCGCTAAGCCACAAAATTTATAACAAATGATTTGTATCAACTTTCAGATATGATGTCAAACGTACCCATAATGCGTCCTAGTCGGCCAATGAATCCAGTGGAAACATCCGAGATGCACTACAACCAAAGCATGGGCACGCCTAATTTAAACAATCAACATGTCATGCCGATGTCCTCCAATTATTATGAAAGAGCCCAGGGCTATAAGAGGAAACACGAATTCGGCGACGGCTCCTCCTATAGAACAGATAAATTGATGAGGACAAACTACAGTATGGTACATGGCCTTCCTAAAGATTCAGAATACGACGGATTAGAAATTAGCTCCCCAGATAAATCTCAAAGGCACTTCCCTACATCAGGGACCAGTTCGGATTCAGCTTCAATGCAGAAAGTATTCGATAGGCATAATTTAGGTTCTGGCGATGGTAAGTATTACTTTGTACAGCTAATTACCTTTCACTTTAACGCTTTCAAACCTTTGCCGCCTAATTCGATTCTTCTCATGCGATTTAAATGTGGGAGCGCTATTCATCAACTTAATTATGGTGACAATTATAAAATTTTATTGTTTCCAATATCTACTATGTCCTGTTACGAAATAAAAAATGTGTCAATTATATCAATACAATACAATAAAATAGAATGCACTTTGCATTTGATAATGCAATTGTTAAAACTATCATAAAATTCCTAATTTATCACATTTATTTAACGAAGATAACTTCTTTTAAAGATATTTGTAGTTTTGAAAAACAACACAAGTCTATTGTCGATTTTCAAACCAGCTCTTAATACTTTCTCTTCCATTACAGTAGCAGACGCTAGTCTTGAGAGATTTCGAACTTTCGTAAACTAATATCCAAAAACATCTCACGCTTTGTTCACAGCTAACAAAATTCAAAATTTTTATTACAATGTTGTGTCTTGTATTGGTTTTGGATTGATTGTAGTAAAGGCGGTTACGCAAAATTTTATTAAACACGTTAATATAGTTCATTGTCAAAGAACAGAGTCGCCATACTGATGTGTATTGTGATATATTTCAGCTTCTACATAATGTGATAATATTGGTCATTGGTTTTCTTTTGGTTGGGTTAATACAAGATACAGCTGTTAATAAATGGTGTACTGGAAACTAATCAGAGTGTAGCGATGTGCAGCGTTCAAACGCTCCCCACTACGGCTTTTTGTCGCTTTCCATTGCACCACAGAAGTAACAAAATTGGCTCACAAATTGGGATCCCATTACTAACGCATCATTGTAAAGCCATCACCATTTCATCTGTTCATCGTTGTAAGTAAAGCACATTTTCATTTTAATGTAACATTCTTCTTGGGTGAGGGGAAAAGTACATCCGAGCTTCTTCTTTACGCAAATTTATAATTATGTAAAGTTTTAATTTGTTAATAATATCGCTGTATTTTTTCCGTGTCCGCCCAAATCACGCATAAAGTTTAAACTGTCTCTTACTTTTACTTATGTGGAACTGAACTGTAACAAATTTATTAATGTAACTACTTAAGCTTGCTCGATAGTAATATATTAAGCCGTGTTCGTCGATCGCTTCACTTTGGTGTCGGAAACGCGGTGATGGAACGCTACTAATAAGTCGCAAACAATAAACAATATAATGATTGTGGTGTGGTAGATTCGAAGAGCGAGGACGACTCTGACGAAAAAGGGGGTGAGGTATCTAGTGAGAAACCGACGCGCAAGTTTGAGGTCGGGGACCTTATTTGGGGGCCAGTGAAAGGGTACAACTCGTGGCCAGGGAAGCTGCAGGCCCGTTGCGAAGATGGAAAATGGAGCGTTCGTTGGTTTGGTGCCGACAAGATGGCGGGCTGCGTGGAACATTCTAGACTGCTCACCCTCAGCGAGGGCCTGGAGGCACATCACGCCGCACGTACCAAGCACAGGAAGTGAGTGCGATCACACCAATGTCACCAAGCAGGGGGCTATTATCTACGACTATAATTATTAGGCCGTATTTGATATACGACAATCTTTCGATTGTTTTCGTAATATAAAAATACGTTTTTTTAATTGATTTCGAAATTTATGAATAATTTTTAGCTTCAACTGAATATGTTGATAATCGCCTCCCTCTTTCTGCTTAATCAACGATTATAACGCACATAATATATTTTTATGTTGAAACTTGAAATCAATGATTGTCATAGAATAAATTTATTCATTATTTGTTAATTTATGTATTAACGATGTAATATTAACCCAACCCAAAGATTATATTGAATTGCATCAGAAATTTTATGGTATGTAAAAAATTTGCCTCGGATGATATTTATAGCTGTTTATGTTATTGTACAGGAGTAGAAAATTGAATTCTCTGCTCGAAAATGCGATACAAGAGGCAATGGCAGAGCTCGATAAGAAGTGTGATAAAAACATGGAAAGGAAAACAGAGGGCGAGGATTCGGATGTCGGCATGTCAATTACGGAGACACCTAAGAGAAGCAAGAAACATGATAAATTAAGGAACAAGGAAAAGCATAGGAAAGCTCCAGCAAAGGTGGATAGCTCGAGATTACGAAGTTCACGATGACGTTTGAACGAAAACTTTTTTCTTGATCTGTTAGTTGCAGGGGTACTAAGTACATAATTCCTTAAAAAAAAATGTTGAATGTTCTTTGCCAGCGACTGGGTGCTAATGAGGGGCGATTACGCAGTAGTCACTTTGAGAAATTATATCTAATCGCTTTTAGTAACATTTCTATGTGTCATAAAAATGAAACTAAAATTCCTGAGGGATGTTTCTTTTGATATTTTTATTTTGATAGGGCAATTGCGTTGTGTTAAGATATAAGATGATTTATTAATTCGGCGTGTATTTTGTAAATAGTTATTAATGCAATTTTTGAGCATTCCGTTTTAATTGGGATTTGCGTTGGATAATTTAATATAAATAAAATCTTAAAGAGATTACGGAAGTATAAAATCATATACATTTTACGATATTCACGATAGATTCATTAATATGATAAATTATTAATACATTATAATAAATATAGTGTTTATGTGTGGCATGCGTGGTTTTAAATCACTGTTGTTTCACACCTATTTGTAAGTTTAAGAGAATTGAACTAAATAGGTCTGTCTCTATATTGGGACACGATTGAGGGCAGCATACAAATTGTTAAGTAACATTCGTGATAAGTACTCTAATGTGAATCATCATATATAAACATCATTATTTTGATGTTGATATTGGTTTGTCAGTCCACAAACGGACTCAACATTAATTCTAAATTGGTGAATTTATCACTAAAATTGGAAACTAAAGTTTTATATTGATGATTTGTGGTTGACATTAAAAAAAATTCTGACGCCCTCACAACTTTAATACATTTCATTGATGTTTGTACAATTTTTATCGAAATGTAAATTTATAAGAAAAAAATAACGCTATATATCATGTAAATTTTGTTTTGTTAGAAAATAAAGAAAAATATGATTTCTAGTCAAAATATTGAGCATATTAAAGTGTAGATATTACGGATGAGGTAATTGACAATAACACTGGCCTGGCGACCTGTCAACATTATATATATAAGTACAGTATTTGTGCATTATTTATTTTGTTCCACATTGTGGTATTTGTTTTCGATTATAATTCCGTTAATATTTTTATATACACAATGGTTAAAAATAGTAGGTTGCTATGAATTTAAGATTAAGTCTTGAGTATTAGGTTTTGGGTAGTAACAGCAGTCAACAAAAGGTTTCTTAATTTTGTTAACTATTTCATTTCATTAAGGCCTAGTTAGACTAAACAACATTGACAATCGCATAGTTATAATCAAAACGATTCCTCCCCCTACCGAATCGATTTACTGAAACTTGGTTTTTTTTCTAACGAGAGAATATAGTTAACGTAATACAATTAAAAAGTTCTAGTTCTATACAATAACTGGAAAGTAATCACTCACTCACGAGTGGTAAAAATAACTCGTGAATAAAAATACCGTTAAAGTTTGCAAGTAGCAAATCAGTTAAATCATTAAAAAATATATGTTTCCCTGCGATTTTTACGTAGAATCAGACTTGAAATTCGAGGAAGCCAGAAAAGTTGTACATTTTTGAACAAAAATATTTTATTGTGATAATTATTAAAACCTTTTCATGGAAGACATTCGAGATTTATTTAGCTTATGCTTTAGCTGATATTATTTAATACATCACGTTTCGGTACCTTTTCTTTTTTTATAATTAAGATTTTCACTTTAAGTGTCGCTTTAATGATAAGTTTTCGGTTTACGGTACAAGGGAGATTATTTTAAAACATTTCTAAAATGATTTATTATCACAAAATTCAGATATCTAGGTAAAGGATTTCAAAAAATCGTAGGTAGCATGTTAAATATAGAATCATGTCATTAATACATTTTATAGGTAATTTGTTAATGACGGTCATTGTTAGATAATATTATCGATGTGTGAAATTAATTTATGTGATCTTTGAATATGTCCGGGAAATTATATATCAAGGATTTATCATAGCTTACTGTTTTTATATAATCGTATTTTAAACTTAGGGATTCGACTTAACTTTCCTAAATAATAAATGTGACTCCAGATATCAACGTAATATTAAATGTTAAATGGATATTGTTTATTAAAACGAATAGCACTTCCCTGTGAAATGGTATTATGTACATAATCTAACTGTAGTTATGTATAGTATTTTATTTCATTGAAATTAATGTTTTATAGACTAATATACAACATAAGATTATTTATTTGTTTTGCTGTGTACATATTTTTTTCAATAAAATGTACCTGTTTTATTTAAGTTTTATTTATTTATTTATTTTTATTTTAAAGGAAATGAGTAGTAAATAAAAATTTGCAATTTGCAATCTTCGGTTTATGACCATCTGTATGGCTATCGAGTCCCCATCTAAGAATAATCTGTGTATGGGTGTTGTTCCTTTTTAGGGTTCCGTACCCAAAGGGTAACCAACGGGACCATATTACCAAACCTCCCCTGTCCGTCCGTCTGTCTGTCAACGGGCTGTATCTCATAATCCGTAATAGGTAGACAGTTGAAAATTTCACAGAATGTGTATTTCTGTTGCCGCTATAACAACAAATAATTAAAGTAAATTAAAAGGGGCTCCCCTACTAGACGCGGTTTTTACGATGGTACGGAACCCTTCATGCGCGAGTCCGACTCACACTTCGCCGGCTTTTTATTCCATTCAGGAGCTCGTAATTAATTCACTCAGGGCTCGGATAACGGTATATTTTTCGAAACGTTTTCGTCTTAAATACCTAAAAACTTATTTGTTTCATTTATGTTCGAGCGGAATCATAAAAAAAACGTTTATGTAGAGAACAAAATTTTAAATCGTTCTGGTTCAATAAAACGTTTTTAACCATTTTAAACAGTTTTTTCCCATTTTTTGGCCCTGAAATACGAAACAAAAATACCTTATAGGTTTAAACTTGTCGTGGTACGCGCCATTCATTTAGCTTCCTGCGGAATAAACCGTTTTTTACGTTTTCACATTACCTTCTCATTTCGTTTTTGTTCCGAACAAAATGTTATACAAGGAACCGTCCCAAACTTTTTAAAAACGTTATTTTTAATAACGTTTCCGAGCCCTGAATTCACTGCTAGACATGAACCTTAGCTATAATAGGGTCCTAGAGAGAATTTGTGGCAATCGAAGCAGTAGATAAATTAATGATTGCAGTATCAGATGTCTCAGACGCAGCTTCCCATACCCGATTTGAGAATTGTAAACTGGTGTTAACAAGAGTTGGTTGTGCTGTTATCTGTCAGAGACCACAAGATCTGGGCCTTCTTGGAGGAACAGATGGGATGATTTTAATTTTGTTTAATTATCTCTATGACTTGTAACAATTGTTAATCAATATTGGCTGATAAATATTTGACATAAATTTTATTACTTATAGTGAATCTCAATGGCACGCAATGCATGCTCTTGAGGTACGGAGAGACGAAATATTTATGTCTATACCCAGCATGGCCTTTTTGACCTATCAATAAAATAAATAAATAGAAGTCGCGATCCAGTTACTATACGTTTGAATGGCATCAATATACAGAAGCTCGTGCCCAGGAGCTGGGGGGGGGGGGGGGAGTCATGACCTTTCGCCTCCACTAATTTAAGTATATTTTTTCTTTTTTTTAAAAAAAAAAAAACGTTACCTCCACTCTAGGATTTTCTCCTGTATCGTGGAGGCAGTTTACAAACACAAATTGCACAAGGACAAACATCCAGACCCGGAATAATTATTTGTAAGCCATACAAATACTTGTTCCGTGCGGGATTCGAACCCAAGGCCCCCAGCGCAGCAACTCATTGCTAAGCGACTGCGCCATGGAGCCGTCCATTTTGCTCCTTACTTATATCTTACATTGAGATGAAAGGTTTGCGTAAGTAAAACTATAGTTTTTAACCATCTCCAGCGAGCCTTAACCGGACGTAAATTGCATTCCATAATTCTTTTTCTTTAAAAATACGTTACTTCCACAATAGTATTTTCTCGTATCGTATAACTTTTACAAGAAGGAACATCCAGACCCCGAACAATTATTTGTAAGCCATACTTGTTCCGTGCGGGACGGCCCTCAGCGTTATAACTTATTGCTAAGCCACTGTGCCACGGACCCATCTTTACCCGTCACTTTTCAGTTAAGAGATACAGTTTCTATAAAAATTAAAGGAAATTTGTTTTGGGTCCATCTGGATTTGCATAAAATTGTTTAAATTTCAGTGGTTAGTATTGTAGAAATATATATAAATTTCATCACCATTTTATGCACATTCACAAAACACCATCAAACTTTAAATACATTAAAATAAAGTGAATGGATTTGTCTTGCTGTTTTTAACTTTAAAAACTGTTCTAGTCATGTATACTACACTTTGAATATTACAACAACATAACGATGATGATTTTGTAATCAGTTTTTCAGTTTGTTCTCACTACGCTGAGTAAACCTAGATCACAAAATCTTTTTTCATACATTTCATTCATTCATTCACTGCATATCAAAAGTCCACTGCTGAACATAGGGCTCCCCATAGATTATCTCATAGTGCTTAAATACGGACGTATTAATTTTAACTTATTAGGAGATCTCTCACAACTTGCGATAGATAATGTAATAGTGAGCAGAATTTGAATGAAAATGCAAGGATTCCGAATTACGCTTTCATATAAATTCAATCATAGGTAGCTTTTATGATTTTTTATGTCGATGTTGTTTTTTACAGATATAACATTCGAAAATCCAATATTTATTTGTCTCATTCTCATTCATAACTGTTTTTCGTTAACATCGCAACCATAGAAGTGTCCAAATTCTTCACATTTCTTTTAAATAGTCGCAGTCGTCGGTGCCGTGAAACAGTGTTTTAACATCAAGATAAAATTCAAATCTGGTGTCAGTTTTATGCAAACGAGTAAACCTTTCACTCATGACACAAACAATACCTCGTTTAATTTTGTCTTTAGCGGTCAGTCCTGCATTTTTGGCTTACGACGCCTTTTCGTGGCTACATCCAATTC